GCTCGGAGCTCGTCTGCCTGGCTGTGTGTTTAGACCAATCTGACTGGATGATCTGCTGAGATGATGTGAATTGTTGCTATAGAAACAAGCTGAATTGAATCAGTCTGCTGTGCAGCACTGCAGGGAAGTCATGGTCAATGGAAACCAATGGAAAGTTCAGTGGATGGAAAAACTGCGCGCTTCATGCTTCCCTCTGCTGCAAAGCTTTATGCAGATCTTGGTTTTAAGCAGAAATCAGTACCGATAATAATTGCTGATATTAATAGATATAAACGTTCCAGATCTAAACCGCCAGAGAGCAGCAGCTCTAAAGCAGAACTGAGAGGAACCGGGTCCAACATGCAGCACCGCTGTAGGGTTAGAAGGAAACAGGATGGTGGACCTGCAGCCGGACGGCGTGCTCATGCTTCCTCTTCATGTCGTTGATGTACCAGGCCACCCCCGTCATGGTGTAGATGGCCTCCTCCACCACGTCATAGCCCTCCTCCTCAGGGTCAAAGTGCTTGGCGATCTCCTGAACATCGACACAGAAGGAGGAGAACATCTGAGGAAGGTTTCCTGTTCCTCAGACATGGATCCTCTGATCCAAACCAACGCAGGTTCTGACGGGTCAGAACCAGAACATTAAAGAACATTAATGATGGATGAATGATGTCATTCTTCAGCCAATCAGAGACCGGATGTCCCAGAGGAGCTGAGCTCCATGCAGGTGTGACGCACCTGGAGCAGCAGGTGGTACTTCAGGATCCTCTGGACCGGTTTGAGCAGGTAGGAGCCCAGAGGCATGGAGCGCTTCAGAGACGCCTGGCGCTCCCGGAAAAACTGGGCCAGAGATTTGTTCATCATGCACTCCGTGAGCGCCGCCACCGAACTGCAGCAGGAGAAACGAGGAGGAGAAACAGGTGAGGAGGAGCAGGTGAGGAGGAACAGGGAGGAGGAACAGGTGAGGAGGAACAGGTGAGGAGGAACAGGGAGGAGAGATGAACAGGTGAGGAGAAACAGGTGAGGAGGAGAAACAGGTGAGGAGGAGCAGGGAGGAGGAACAGGTGAGGAGGAACAGGTGAGGAGGAACAAGGAGGAGAGATGAACAGGTGAGGAGAAACAGGTGAGGAGGAGCAGGTGAGGAGGAACAAGGAGGAGAGATGGACAGGTGAGGAGAAACAGGTGAGGAGGAGCAGGTGAGGAGGAACAAGGAGGAGAGATGGACAGGTGAGGTGAAACAGGTGAGGAGGAGCAGGTGAGGAGGAACAAGGAGGAGAGATGG